GGTTAGCATTCTTTTCAATATTACATATTCTGTCTTCGTTATCTGAGGTCCTATCTTCCAAGTGATCTAAACTATTGATGATGCTTTCTATTGATCTTTTAATTTGGTTTATTTTTTCTTTCATTTCAAGGATTTCTCTATTTTTTTCAGAATCTTTGTCTCCTTATGGAATTTTTGCTTCCTATATTTACTTATGTAGCTCTTTCTAGAAATGATCCTTTTCTTCCTGTATTTGTTCTTTTATATCACCCTTTAATTCACAGAACATTGTAATTATGTACATCCTGAACTCCTTCTCTGTCATTACTTCTGTTCTGCTGGCCATAGATTCTAATAATGCAATATCTTGGTTTGTTGGAGTCACTTTCTTCCATTGTTTTTCCATGTTGTTTGTGTGTCTTCCCTTCTAGTAATCCAAGGCATTACTGCTGTTACCCTATAGACTTATAGTGCCCCTGCAGGTTTCCAACACCTCTCCTTTAATGGGGAGAAAAATGTGAACAGATCCCAATACAAACAATATACAACCTTAAACCAAATAGCTGCTATTAACATGTTTATGGATTTGTCACAATATACAGAAATTGTAAGCTCAATTATTATCTATAATATAAAGAGTAGGTTTGTAAAAGGGGCTACAGTTTCTGATGTTGGACACAGTATCGGGGGTGAGGTGTAGGATGAGACGTTAAGTGGGAAAGAGGTGAGGATATAGTTATTAGATCTTAGAAAGTGTGAAAGGGGAATCTAAATAAGTTGTTTAGTATCAGGAGAAGAGAGAGAAATTGATTTTGGTGAGAGAAGTTAGTGGGAAGACAGTAGATTACACAAAAAAACATAATATAAAATGTAAAAAATGTAGGAATAGGACATAAAAGAATATACAACACCATTGTAATATACTATTCAGACATCCCAGTCCTCAGTATCCTTATTCATGCAAATTACTTGGTTTCACAAACTCTGGGGATGTGAAGGTGGAAGAAGAGAGAGAGTGAGAAAAAAAAATCCTAAAGAAGATACAAGGGTTGTTTTTGTTGGAGATCAATATCTTTCCAGCTTCCCTTCTCATCCAATAGGTGGGTTTGTCTGTTGTTTGCTCCTATCTCCACCCTCAAGATGGTGAATGTTATTATGGTGGGAGGGTTGGTCTTGGGGCGTGGCTCCTGGAGGTGACTTATAATACTTTCCAGTTCCTGATGGAAGACTGCATCCCAAGGATCTCCTTTGGGGCTTGCTTGTGTGATATGGGTGCCTGGTCTTATCTCCATATATCGCTTATAGACTTCACAATTCCTGGTCTCTAATTTAGTCTCTAAACTGTATCTCACTCACTTCCTCCCTTTCTACTTCCCAACCAGGAACCTTTCTCTCCAGAGGTCTTGTGGGCTGCTATCTGGGGCCTGTGCACCTGTCTCAGAGAGTTGTTTTATATTAGGTAGTTCAGGACCTGGTTTTGCAACCCAGTTTTGTGAGCTATGGACCGACCACATAGCTGCAGGCATTTTGCAGGTTTAGCAGCTGCAGGCGAAAGAGGGTGAATTGGGGATTTTTTGTACTTTGATATTATTTCTAAGCCCCAGCCATTGTTCCAAGTTAGAATTTGCCCAAACTAAACATGGCAATGAATGTGTTGTAAGATGGAGGCTGCTGCTTTCAGCAATGGGGAGTGGGGTCAGGTGGGGCCTGGCAGTGGTATTGAGCAGTGTGTTCAGAGATATAGCTCTGTGGTGTGCAGTATTGTGGCTGGCAGCTCTCTCTGGACCCAGTGCAGTGTCCCCAGGTGCAGGATACTGCCTGTAGGGGATGGTGGGAGTGGTGGCAGTGCTCCAAGAAGGAGGCCACCAGAGGAGCCCCACATTGGTAGATGGGGGTCCACATGGGAGTGGTGGCTAGAGTTCCTGTGTGGGCTACAACTGGGTGTCCTGCGTGGGTGCTAATGCCGGTAGTCCTACCCGGGTACCTATAAGATCTGCGTGGATGAGTGGCCAGAAATCCTCTGCTGATGCTGAGGCCTGGAGACCTGCATGGCACAGAAGCTGTGATTCCTACATGGGAGCAGCCATTGTGGGTTCTTTGATGACTTGCAGAGAAACAATATTCCCACTACTGGAATCCCAGGTCCTGGAGCGACACAGAATGCAGCCTCCCCCTGACTTGCCATCTTATATCTTCCTGATTATATGTTAATAGGGAAAATTTAAAACATCCATGTAATAAAATAACACAAATGCACAAAAAAGCTGGCATACAAAAAATATTCCATTGACATAGAAAATATTTGTAATATGCTGTTGAGTAGTTGATTATAAAATAATATGTATGGTTTATTTGCATTAATATTTATTATTTATGTGTGTTCTTATTTAAAATTATTTTTATTTCATTTTGTTAACTTTTTATTTTTCTAAATTAAAATTAATAAGCATTGGAGTAGATGAAGGGGAAGACGGAAGGGACGGAAAACACATGAATGGTGAAATAAAATTGAGCTAATTATGCTATGTTTTCATATGAGTGTACCACAGTGAATTTCACCTTTATATGTTAAAATAAACTAAATAAAAATTTAAAATTATAAATAAATTAAAGGAAAATCATCAGAGAAAGAGGAGCAGTATATAAAAATCGTATTTCTTTCATGAATGGTTATGTCAAAATGAACCCTAATGTTATGTTTAACTATAATGCATGAATGCTGATATATATATATATATATATATATATATATATATATATATATATAAAACATTATGAATTAATTTTTAATTTATTTTTTTCTGAGCAAAAATATATTACATTCTCATTGCATAACAAAAATAAACTCAGGCTAGACCCAACATTGCATACCTGTAATCCTAGCAATATGGGAGACTGAGGCAGGAGGATCCCAAGTTTGAGGCCAGCCTCAGCGATGTTGACCCTCAGCAACTTAGTGAGACCCTGTCTCAAAATAAGAAAAACTAAATAAAAAGAACTGGGATGTAGTTCAGTGGTAAAGTGTCCCTGGGTCCCATCTGCAGTATCAGAACAAAGAAACAAACAACAACAACAAAAACAGTAAATACAGAAATATCTAATGATGAAGTTATTGTAATCTCTCAATCTCTCACCTGGAGACAATTACTGTTTATACTTTGGGCTAGGCCAGTCAAAACATTTTTATGTGTATGTACTCTATAGCAACAGTAGCAAGCAATTCTCCCAGAAGTGAGTTTAGCAAATGATTTCTGACCCCAATAATATTTTTTCTTCATTCTAGGTAAATAAAGTTTAGAACAATTGAAAATAATTACCTTGTCTGAATTTGGGTTTCACCAGCTCTCTGGCAAAAAGGACACAATAATCTTATGACCTTAAAACGGAACAGTCAGAAAGGAATTCCACTCAGTTAGTGACCAAAGGAAATTGGTGGAAACAGAGGGACTGAGGATAGACTTTAGCACCTTGGCTATTATATCTGCTGTTGGAAAACAATTTTCTGCCCCACAAAGACGTCCTGGCATTTCTTCCAGAAACGGTGCAACGTGCAATGATTTAGCTCTGTCTACCCTCCCCAGGACCAAAGTGAGTGCACATACCCACACAGGTGAGCTCCTTCCGTGTGGAAAAAAAATATTTACAGTGATCTTTACATATTTGAAAAACTATTTTTTTCTCAAATTTCAATTCCATTTCATAGGGTATGTATATTAATGTAGAGGTATACATATGTAACTTATAGGTTATTAAATATACATTACCTTAGCCCTTTTGCTAGTAGAGGAGTGCAATGAAAAACAAAATTGTAGATCACCTTTAAAAAGGTAAGTTTCCATCTGTTGTTGCATTCAGGCATTCCTTACTATGCATCCTGTTTCTTGTAATTATTTTTAGTCAAATAATTTTCACACTTGATCCAACTTTGTGATTTGTCAAAATAGAGCCATTTTTGTAGAATAGAATCAGAAACATTTTTAAAAAGTTTTATTAAAAGTACACAGGGATAATTTGTAAAATAAAAGCAGTTATTTTTTTAGCTGACATGAAACTGAAAATGCATTTAGATTAACAAATACCATCTATGGTTTATATAGTGTGAAGGAAATAAATACAAGGACTTCTTTAGAACCATAGACCACATTTACACAAATGGACAGGGAATATAGATTGATAATAGAAAATAAAATAGTCTGTTTTGTACTTGATACTAAATGAAAATCACATTAAATTCACACAAATTCAGTCATGGGGTAAAGAAGAGTATGCATTAACAAAGAGCTTGAAGTAAGAATTGTCTGACTAAAAATGGAAAAATGGGATATTGTTATCTCAAATATTAACATTCTTCAATGTAAAACATGATACTAAAAGTACACATAATAGCTATTTTTAGGAAGAGGAAAACACATTTTGATATTTTAGGTACCACCCTAACTTCCTTCCACATGCAAATATTTTCATCATTGATGAAATAAAGGTAAGTATGTAGTATCTAACTTTAACTGAATACTTACTAGGTCAGGCATTCCACTACACATTTCAATTATTATAATTCTTTTAATCTTCACAATAATCCTAGAGGGCATATACCCTTATTTTTGTTAATTTGCACATAGAAAACCTGATGTATGGAGAGTTTAACTTGCACAAGTTCACATTTCTGGGAATTACAATTGATAGAATTGAAAACCTGTCACTATGACTAGAGTTTATCTGTCTCTTTTTATAAAGAAACTCAAAGTCCTAAAGGTAAGGTTGCACACTGGTATTTTTAGAATTTACATCTGTCATGCAACCATGAAAAATAAGGACACCTAGCCATTACGAAAGAAATGATCGCATGCAACATATGTTTTGTTTGCTTATGAGGATCTGAAGTGAATGTTGAATAGAATTTGATGCCAGTCTTGGCTTTTCTCATGTACTATTACAATCCTGTAATATTATTATTTGTAACATTATTATTTCCATTTCATGTTACAGGAAAATTTCTGATCAGATCTCTGAAATTTGAAATCATGGATCAAGGCAATATGTCAGGAGTGACTGAATTTGTACTGAACAGTCTTTCAGGTTCTCGAGAGCTACAACTTTTCTATTTTGCATTTTTTACCGTTTTCTATTTATCCATTGTGCTGGGAAACCTCTTCATTTTGCTCACCATCATCTCTGAACCCATGCTGCACACACCAATGTACTTTCTACTCAGCAACCTCTCCTTCCTCGATGTGTGTCTGTCTACCTTTGCTACCCCCAAAATGATTTTCGACTTCCTTATGGAGCACAAGACCATTTCTTTTGAGGGCTGCATGGCCCAGATATTCTTTCTGCATGTCTTTGCTGGTGGTGAAATGATGCTTCTTGTGGCCATGGCATATGACAGATATGTAGCTATATGTCGACCCCTACACTATGCAACCGTTATGAATGTACACAAGTGCATTGTCCTCGTGGTGGGCTCCTGGATCATTGGGGTCCTACACTCAATAAGTCAGTTGGTCTTCACAGTAAACCTTCCATTCTGTGGTCCCAATAAGGTGGATAGTTTTTTCTGTGACCTTCCCCTGGTAATCAAACTTGCTTGCACTGACACTTATATTCTTCAGGTACTATTGCTTTCAGACAGTGGTCTAATGGCCATGATGTCCTTTTTCCTCCTGCTGATCTCATACACAGTCATCCTGGTGACTGTGCGACGTCGTTCCTCAGCAGGCATGGCCAAGGCACGGGCCACTCTGACGGCCCACATCACCGTGGTTACCCTCTTCTTTGGCCCCTGCATCTTCATTTATGCCTGGCCTTTTAGTGACTTGCCCGTGGATAAACTTCTTTCAATATTTTATACTGTTTTCACTCCTCTTTTAAACCCCCTGATCTATACCTTAAGAAACAAAGAGGTGATATCAGCAATGAGAAAACTAAGGAATCGACAGATAAGTTCCTGACTGTCTCCCTTCTTTCCCCCGTGATAAACAATGGCACATAGTAAAGACCAGGTTGATATACTTTCCTCTGTAAATTCCTATGATGACTGAAATAGCATAGGACATGTTTTCTTCTTCATAAAAGTAAATAGTAAACAAACCATCTAGGATAACCATCTGGGAATCCCTACCTTTGGCTTTTGAAATAATTTTTATTTGATCAGAATATAACTAATTTTAACAATAAATTTTTTCACTAAAAATATAAAGTGGTCTATAAAGTTTGTTTCTTCCAATTAATTTGATAAATATGAACACATAAAAATACCAAAGTAACAGGAGATATGTAAGTAATATATATAATTCATAAAATATATTATATATAAAATATATATAATGGATATATGTAAGTAGTATAAAGAGTATAAATGTAAATCAAATTTTTAAAAATATTTCAAAATAATAATTAAGGGGCTGGGGATGTGGATCAGCATTGCCTGGCATGCATGAGGCCCTGGGTTTGACCGTCAACACTGCAAAGATGAAAAAAATTGAAAGAAAGAAAAAAAAAGGAAAGGAATAGACAAGGAATTAAGTTGCAGTTATTTTCCCTTTTGGTATCACAAATTAGAGATATGTATTATAAACTGTATAGAATAAGGAAAATAGTATAGCTTTCACCATTTTTAGGAGGCACAATATGTCTTCTGATAACAAATCTTTCCCATCTCTCTCTACTCTGCCTATCTACAAACACACACTGAAATCTCTTGCACTCTAAGCTATTTCTACCTAACTAAAGAGTTACATAGATTGAATTATTTTATATGTTAAAATGGTATTTCCTGCAATCTACATTCTCACTATAACTATCCAAATTTTGCAACAGAAGGTAAATACATTATGACAGACATTATTGTCTGAATTCAGAAATCAAATATCCCATATTTACATTAATCATGCTATAAATAGCAAAACCTAAGCCCCAAATTGATGTTTCTTTATATCACTGTGTTAAGTTGAACTTTAGATTTTCACTCAGCTATCTCAGTTCAATGACTACACAAAAAACGGTAGCTCTCTGCATATAGCTGGATTGTTTTCATCAACAGTTTGAATATGTATTTGTTCTGTATATTTCAGGTCTTGCCCCCTAATTTATACTATCAAATAAGATAAAATTCAGAACACATTTTTAAAATACCTCTAAGATTGATGATTTTGTTTTGACTTTTTTTTTAAAAAGCCACATATTTACACTTACATTCAATACTTATTAATCTTTCATTGTCTAGCTCCCTTTTCACCAATTAGGAAAGTAAGAGTCAAGTATACCAGTTAAGTGAATTGGACACTGCTATCAACTGAAAAGTGTCTCCCCCAAAATTAGAAACTAAAACCCAATCTGTCATATAATATTTGGAAGAGGGGCCTTCTGGAAGTGATTAGGCCATGAGGGTTGGGCCCTCATGAAAGGTACTAGTGAGCTGATAACTGAGACCCCAGAGAGGAACTTCCTCTCTTCTGCCACATGAGGTGTCAGAGAAAAGATGACTGTTAATAAACCAAGAAATGAGTTCTCACCAGATACTGCATTTGCTGGTGCCTTGGTCTTGGACTTCCCAGCATCCATGATATAAGCAATAAAATTCTTTCCTCATAAACTACCAAGTCTGAGGCATTTTGTTAGAGTGACATGAATAGACTAATATGCATCTCAAGAAATTATTTTTCTACTAGTTATAGGAAATGAAAAAAAAGAAAATTGGTACATGTAATAATATGGATAAATTTCTAAGAAATAAGCCAAGTGAAAAAAGCCAATCCCAAAGGTTTTATACTGTATGATTATGATTATATAACATCCTTGAAAGTTTAGTAGTTACCAAGAGATAAAGAAGGAGTGGTTGGAAGAGAAGTGGGAATGGCTAAAAAATGACAAAGTTAGTATCTTTATGTTGATGGAAACGCCTATATCTTGGATCAACTATTAATGCCAATATCTTGGTGGTGATAGTGTACTACAATTTTAGAAGATATTGCTATCGAATGAAACTAGATAAAATGAACACATGATTTCTCTATATTATTTCATACAACTTCATGTGAATTTATGTTTGTCTCATAATAAAAATTTAATTTAAAAATCAAAAATTCATAACAAACATGAAGTAAAATTTCTAAAATTTAAATGGTAGTTGCTGATAACTCAGTAATTGGGCTAATGGACATCTTCAACACATTTATTAAATAATTACTGATCTTGAAAATAGACCTAAATTATTTACATAAAAGCATTACTGATATCTAAAAGAAGAAATAACAAAGAGAAATTAAAAGACCAAGGAAAAATTAAGTGTCTCCACATAAGTAATAAGTTATCAGATGGTGAGAATGGGAAGAAGCAATGCTCAAAAGATAGAAGGCTGATCATTTTCAGCTTTAAATTTCTAAATTCCAGATTAATGAAGCATGAGTAATCTAGAGCTGGATAAGTTAAAATAAATCCTTATCTAGACTCACAATAGTGAAAGGACATAAACTTACACAAAAACGAAAATAGTATAAAAGCAACCAGAAAGTGTAAAAAAATGGTGATAATTACAACACAATGATAGCAGTCAATGAGATTTATCTATAGAAACAATAGAAGTCATAAGATAATGAGACAATCTTGTCATTTAGCATAGAGGAAAAGAATCAGTTCCCTGTACTGCTATGCAATCATTCAGGGTGAGAGAAACTTTACTAAATTTTTAAGTAAATGACTGAACATTAACTACTTATAAACCTTCAATTAAAGGATATACTAAAAAACACGTTTCCTCATCAAGGAAATGGAGTCTGGGAGGAAAAGTCATTAACAGGAAAGGAATGCTGAGCAAGGACTTTGGTAATGTGGATAGGCTTAGATAATAATAATAATATGACAAATAACATGGAACATAAATTATCAAGTGAGTAGGAACAGAAAGAAATTAAGCCAGATGGCCTGCTGTCTGTTCACTACTTTTAATGTGGGACACTCAGGTTTTTGCAGGTGGGTGACTTGGTCTAATCTTATAAATATGCTGCTAACTATACCAGTTGGTAAAGACCCTAAGGGATATGCTAGGAAGATAATCCATATGTCTGGAATATAGAAATGCTCTTATAAGGATGCCTTTGTTGAATTATTTATTATGGAAAGCAAATTAAGAAATGATAGCTTTATGAGGCAACAACTCCTTAATCATAGTATAAGAAATAGAAACATTTCATAGAATTGATACACTTCTGCTAAGTAGTTAGTTCTTCAAACCTTAAATTTGGAGAGCACATTTATTATGTTGGATCATGGAGGGCCTGTCAGATGTGGTTGGAAAGAACAAAGGATCCATTTTTGATGTTCCAGATCTCTCCCTGATTTGCTTATGACTCTTGATTGCTCATGTCTCTGAAGGTATTAAGATATGATTAGCATAATAAAGGTAAGATCTCAGATTCATTAAAGTCAGACTTGACAACACAGTCTTTTGCATGAGCAATAAAGGGAGGGATTGTGGTAAGATCTGTATGGTCTTACATTTTAGGGAGAGGATAAAAATATCCATTAATTTTGACTTACAATGTCAAGTATGCATGTTAAGATTGTGAGGGGAAAGCATGAAGTAGGAATAGAATACATGATTTTCAAGCCAATAGAAAGAACACAATGAATCAAAACTCAATCCTTTTAATGGAAGGCAAGAATGAAGGGGGAAAGGAACATTGTAAAAACAAAAGATTAAAAAAATAGTGAAAATAAATCTAAATACAAAATAGAATTAACAAGATATTTATTTTTTCACCAGCTTTTAATTTTGAGGGATAAACTTTTATGATTTTTAACCCCTACTAAGCAATATGGTAATCGAAGAGTGAAAAAAAAAAAGAACAAGACAAAACAATAAAACACAAAAAATAGCTGATGGAATCATATAAGGTTTATTAATATCAACCAAAAGGCAATTAATGCAGAAAACATTATTAAACATAATTGAGTGAATCTGTATTGTTAAAAGGGAGGGATTTTAGCAAGAGCTGTATGGTCTTACATTTCGAGGTGGAGGATAAAAAATATCTGATTCAAATGTATGATATGTCAAGGTCATTATACTGTCATGTATAACTAATTAAAACAAATAAAATATTTTTAAAAATATAATTAATTTTGACTTATAATGTCAAAATTTTTCCGGGATTACATCACCTTCCTAAACTTGTATGACACAGGTGCTTCTTGATGTACAAGGGGGTTACATCCCAACGAATTCACCACAATTGAAAACATTGGAAGTCAAGATGTATTCAATGCATCTAACCTGCCCAACATCATAGCTTAGCTGCACATCACACTGTACAGCATCAGTGTACCTTCGCGATCTCATGGCCTGCTGGAAGCTGTGACTGGCTGCCACTGCCCAGCATGGAAACAGAGCACTGTACCACATAGCAGTAGATAGAAAAAGATAAAAAATTTAAAGTACATTTTTTACTGAATGTGTATCACTTTCACATTATGGTGAAGTCCAATATCCCAAGTTTAACCATCACAAGTTTTATACAGAGGTCTGTCTGCATAAACCTAATGACTATTTCAACATGTGCAAAATGCAGAACTATAAGGTCATCATTATATATATATATATATATATATATATATATATATATATATATATAATGGTCATCATTAGAGATTTCAATAAATTACAGAAAAAAGAAAAGAGTTTGGTAAACATATAGAAGCAGAATACACTTACTAGAGGATAAGAAGATAGAAGGACAGGGTAAATAATAAGAGGGTAGATAATGTGTACCAAAACACAGTTAGAGGAGAGAGAAGTAGTCCTAATGTAATACAGCACTGTAGGGCAAGTCTAGTCTACAACAATTACTTAGAAGAGAAGAATTTAAAAGTTTTCAACACATAAGTGATAATATTTAAAGAATGGAAATGTTAATTTCCCTGATTTGATGATTATACATTGTATACATGTAAA